AGCTTGTTTTCACATCAGAAATCATCATCTCTACTCAAGTCACTTTCTTTAGTTTTGATGTATAAACGACATTTGATAATCATGACAACTTATTCCAATTTTTGAAACAAACTGTAGAGTTTTTTGGTTGGATATTGTATCTTCATTGTGAACCTTATGACATAAAATGTTGACTTTGGATGCATTATATATGCATAAAAAAATACGTAACAACTAGTGTCTTGTGTAAATTTGCATAATGTAAAACAAAGAAAGAGATTATTATATCAAGAAAAACGTGGTGTATGTTTTACGCAATACATTTTGAACAGTCTAATTTCGAAGTCGAAATACAATAACATAAAATACACTGATGAAGTTATTAATATAAGCATAAAATAGGCAACAAAAGAAGGGATAATATATTTACATCATAATTATGTTGATATTACAATAGGAGATAATAAAAATGATGAAAAGGCGAAAAATGGCCTTCGAATTGTTAGTTAGAAAATATCCGTGAAGCATATACAGAAAGGACTGAAGCCTTTCCCCCTTCTTGAGAACTACCTTTGCGTTCCAATATAATTCTGACTATATAACCTTTTCAAACTTGAACCGCTTGTCATCGTAACTGTTTCGTTTGATACATCAGAGTCTGTAATCGAATTATTTGAAATGTGCGAGAATAGGGGCATACGCTGGCTGAACCGACGAAAACACCCTAGAAAATTTGGAGTTTCGCCGCCGATGATGATTTATGCCCAATGTTTTGTCGCATAAACTCGAAGATCTACAGGCAAAAACCAACAAGTTGACAGTAGATGGAGCGAAGACGGGACTTTCTTCAGGTGAACGTAGAGAAGACAGAGGTGATGAAGATACAAAAACAACAAGCAACAATCACCATCAACGGGAGAAACCTAAAGGAAGTAGTCTCTTTCACCTACCTACCTAAGCAGGATCGTTCCAACTACAAGTGGCGGCAGCACAGATGAGGGTGTCAAGGCAGCCAGCATCGGAAAGACAGTAAGACAGGTCTCCATCAATCTGAAACCAGTGTGGAGATCTACTGCACTGCAATCAGCATAAGGCGTGAACTAGATTCGGATTTTCAACACTAATTCAGTCAAGTAAGTCAGTGCTTCTCTGTGATGGTTGACAGACTTGGCATGTTATGGAAAGCATTTCCAAAAAACTACAGGCGTACATCACATCAACAGCTGCCACCCACACTCACTCGATACTGACATTGAAGATCAGATGGTCCGGAAGAATAAGAATAAGCAACAAGGAACTCACTCACTCTGGCTGGCTGGCTGGCAACGAACCAGCAAACAACCTATTGTCTAACGAATATGTAGAGTAATGTGGAGATGGATTGGATTGGACATACACTGAGGAGACATATTGACACCAATCATCACAAAGTTACACCGAGGAATTCGAGCAGAGCTACGTCGACTCTGCATCTGAAAGGCTTAATGATTGATGCTATATATACTAAACAGAATTAGATAGGCTCTTGTTAACGATAATGTTATTCTGCCTTTTATAAGATATTAGTCCTGGAGACAAAATCAGTGAGTGAGACTAGCTTGACGAGATGATGCAATGCGTTACACCACCACCTCAAATACGGCTATCAGGACATCTTTCATGCCTCAGATAAATTATAAACAAATTATCCTTAGACAGATGTTGGGGTTAGAGTTTATCAGTCACTAATTCCCTCAGTGATAAGCCAGTGTATCACCAGCCATTCACAACTGACATAATGATAATTTTAAACATTCTTCCAAATTAGTATAAGGGTTTTTATATGATACCACAGGTATATCCAGCTGACGAGCACCAAATAGGACGAAATGCGCATCCTGGATTCCACTGCTAGCCACGATCCATCATTAACATTCTTCCAAATTACCAAGTTAACCCTGGACCTAGGTTTCGTGCTTGTTGACACTCGTCAGCGATGCATATCTGCAACTTCTAGGTTACTGATGTCCTGTCTGAGATTTAAAAACGCCACCCAGTGTTGTAGTCAGTGACGTTACCACTGAGCAACTTGAGCCACGACTGACCTCCTGTAGGGCTTATCTCATGCTGTATAGTCTCGAGGTTGGAGATACGTCTCGCTGACAAGTGCTTACAACCACGAAAAGTAGGTAAAGTAGGGCTTTCTGAGAATTGTCGTCAACCGTATAACACCAATCAAAGTAAATCCATGATTGTTCGTTTGAGTAATGTAGACCAATGCAGAATAACCGATTGGGGGCTCGTGGGAAAAAGAAACCAGTGGTTGGAAACTAGGTGATATTGCTCGGAGCCAATTTCAGTGGTGCAGATGTATACAGACATTATCCTCATCCTAACCACTGTATTTAATCTGACTCTCCCATCCTCTCTCTTACTTCTTTTTACTGTTTTTGACCGATTTTTCTTTCCTTCTTCATGTTCCATTTTATTCCTTTGTTACTTGTTGTGCTGATATGAGGTATGGCAACTTGAACTGTTAGGCAGTAATACCTGGTCCTATGTTAATTTTGTTGATGATAAATCAAAGTGTAACTCGATGGAGGCCAAAGTACAAAATGACCGGCAGAATTCAGTCAGTACTCGGGACTAAACAACCCTAGGTTGGTTACTGTCTAGTGACCAATCAATCTACAAAGCTAACCAACCAACTAAACTGGATTAATTACTTAATCTTTAATCTGTAGCTCATACTCATCATCGTCGTAATAAAAACTTAAGTAGACACTTTTTTTAAACCCACTGACTAAAACAAGTCTCATTGTTCAAAAATCAACAATTCAGCTTCAAAGCAGAAAATATGTCTCCACTTGTACATTGAAGCAGACTACTTTCTCGGATTACATACGCTGAGGAACATACAGAAATTGAACATATTCCATTAAGGTAGATATTTTCAACTAAATTAATCTAATTATTTGTTAATACACGTAATTTCCTGTTGAAATTCTGGATCGAACTGATCGATCTACGTTAGCATATGGATTCATATGCGGAGGCCTACACACTCACTGATTACTCATTATGTTGTAATTTGCTTGGTGGTTGTGGCTAACAGTGGAATCTAAAACATGTGTTTCGTCCTACTAAGGACTCGTCATCACCACCATCGGGCTGGAAACTCGGTGGTTGGAATTCGGCCACGGTTCAAATTTTCATTTCATATTCAATTGTCACCCATTACTCAATAAATATGCACTAGAAGGAAGTGGAGATGAATCGGGCATACACTGAGAAGGCCGACTGGGGATATCACACGCCATGACCTCGAGTGGAACCCCGATGGAAAAAGACAAGATGGGCGTCCGAGGTGAGGGTGACATGGAGGAGATAGTATGAGGAAGAAATGAGAGTTTCTGGGCTGTCGTGGAGCCAGGTTCAAAAGTTTGCAGAGAACAGAGTGCACTGGAGACGTGCTATTGAAGCCCTATGTTCCACTAGGAACCCAAGGGACACATAGTAATAATAGTAATAATAATAAATACTAGTGTGCTGAACCATAGCTATCTCACATAGTCAAAATGATACTCAATCCATTAACAACCACCTTCATCAACATTGTAAAATTAATGTCAAGCAAAAACTCAACTGAAGATACAACAAATTGATCAAAAGAATGACAACCAATAAACGTCTTGTTTTAATTTGTATTGTATTACATTTTTTAGTAGATAAACAATTCTTTCTTTGTTATCTTGAAGGTATGCAGATATATTCTAGATTCTCAAAAAACTGTCTAGTTTGGCGTAAAGTTAAACAAATTCCACTGGAAATCACACTTCATAAACACGAAAAAATTATTATTAATAATAATAAACGATAACAATACGATCATAGTTTGTTTATTTTAATTATTAAAAAAAAAAAGTATTACTGTCTGTTATTCTTTCAATGTTAACTATTCAAGGTCAAATTATATAGAACGAAAATCGAAACAAAGTACACAGAGATGTGAATGAGACCATAAGGCGAAGACCATGTTCACCAAGTATGATAAGGTCTGGTAGGACAAAGAAAACTTAACGATAGAATGTGAGCAAAAGAAGTGAGAAAAAAAACACAGAAGTTCAGTAAAACAGTCTGAAAACGACGAATAAATACAATACATTGAACAATTAATCATCTAATAAGCAGGCAGATGTGAGAATGAATAAACAAGTAAATACTGATGAAATGTTTTTCCTTTTTCTTTTACACATATCCACATCAAAACTCTCTGATTCAAACGGAAAACATAATCCCAAATATTAGAAAAGAGAGTAAAGTAGTAAAAATTAAATATCCTTTAGTTAAGATAAAAGATAAACAAACTAATCAGTTCAGTAAAATCACATACAAACCTACCCAACTATAGAACAGAAGGATACAGTTGTATAACGAAAAAGAGCATATGCTTCATCAAGAAACGAAATCTGTATAATAATGAAAATAGTCTATCTCTCAATATCTTTCAGAGGAGAGAAGAAAGAAGTCAATATTTCAACTGATGGCAATAATATTAGTAATAAAATCATTATAAGTTCACTAGTGATGATCACTTTCAGGACTCAAGCCGCTCGAGTTGTCAACTCTTATTGAAGTATAAAAATTGACCATCAATGAATTAATCTCTGTATATAACATAACACGTGTATAACGATAATGATAAAATGTCTCTGGATTTAGTTAGTGTTAGAATATTTTTTTTCGAATAGTTAGTTGAATAAAACGATGGTGGAGAAAAAGAAACGTACAAACAACAAATAACAATAGGAATTACAACATCAGACTGCACCAACACAGAAAGATGAAGGCAGCATAAAAGAAAGTATATTCACTCCAACATGCTTCACAAAATGAATCACCTAGTAATTTTTCTTCAGTTCAACTGTGAAACGAAAATTCATCTGATTCCTTTGATTTCGACTCACATCTGGACGCTGAACCATTGAATGGATAATAACGGTCTACGTAGATTCATGTTAAGTGGTAATGAAATGACATCATCACTGGAAAACAAAATGGTGAAAAAAATTCCAATGATTTTAAAGATGAGACAATAAACACTTGGTGGTTCCACACGAGGACTTGAAGACGAGAGTAGTGCTGTTCCACAAGGAGGTCAGTGTAACTTGTTAATCAGTCAGCACAATGTAACAACGACAATAGTGATAATAGTAATAATAATAATAGTGTTGCGCAAACACCCTACCCACCTTTTCCCATTGGAATTACACCAAATATGTTGACAATGACATTATACAACCGAGCTGTATTAATCAGATGGAGATGTGTTTTGCAACATTGACGACTTCATCTTCAAGCAACTCATCACGGTTTCAATGGTGCTTCATCTACTTCCATCAGGTATTAGTCCACGCTGTTATTTATTGAGTGGAGTTTATGTAGCCTCGTACAACATATCTCTGTATTGTTTTAATAGTAGGATTTTTGGTTTTCCTTCAATGTGATCTTCCTCTGATTAGTTGTATTAGTGTAGGCAATAAATGAATGTCTATATGTTAGTTGCTTAGGGACAATCAGCAAAAGCCCCGTTTCATACAAGTTTCTTGTTTTTGTTGGAATTCGTCAGCAGATTCGAACTCCACAGAGGACAACACTGACCTAGATGATTCAGATACGACTTGTTGACGAATACCAACAAGTAAGAAGGCTAGATCAAGCAGGGTTTATTACCGATTATCCCTCAACTAACTAACATCTATTCAAATGCACCGCGATGATAAGTTTCCTAGCTTCGGTGACCACAATACAAAAATGATCGACCCAAGTCGTTCAGAACTGATGACTAGACAACATGAGATTGGTTGCTTATCGGTCACCCGTCGACGAATGTCTATAGGCTACAAGTTAAATGCACACTAGTGATACCATATGAAAATAAGATTAGGTATAAATATTTCTTCCTTTCAGAACTTAACTAAGCATTAAAAACAAAATGATACCCATTGCTTTTAGAAAATAGGTAACACATGGGTGAGGACATGAGATACACTTCTCAAGACTATACACTTCATCTCACAGTTATGTTTTGGATTCTATTTTTCAGCATGCATCACACAAGATGTAACATCTAGTATAGCAACGGGAAAATAAAACTAGCAACATATAACAGGTAATGCTTGATTTAACAAGATATGTCTCTCGTGGCTCAGTGTCCTAATAAATAACACTTTGGCGTTTGAAGTAAAGAGTAATAAGTTGACGTTTCGGTGGGAACACTATCAGAAACTGGGATACAGGTCAATCCAGCCAACTAGTCTCAAATAGGATGAAAGGCACATCCTTGATTCCACCACTAGTCACCAAGTAAACTAAAAACCCAACATCTTGTTCTCTGATAGTATGACGAGAAAATATGTTAATAGGCATTATTTTCTTGTGGATCACAATGGATATCAGTCATGCAAAAGCATCCACTGCTTGTATTATTGTATTAATTGGGCATTAATAGTTCAGTTTTTAGAAGAAAAGATTCATGAAAACCCCTAAGAGTAAATAAAACTGGAAAATATTGCAAAAATTAATCTTATATACGCTTGAAAACAAGTTATCAGTGTTTTTCTCTTCTTGTCATCAACGTTCAAGATAGAGATCAGAACAAATATTGAAGCTTTAAAAGACGTCAAGGAGTGAATGCATATGGACCATTGCGACCGATTTTCACCCATCTTATCAAGTGTCCTTAACCATTATCTCGAGAATCCCGGCCAGGTAGTCTACACCTCTCCATACGGGTCAGTTCAACAGTGATGCACATCGACTGAAGTGGTCAGGACATATACTATACATCATGAGCCATGACTTAAATAAAAATTCCAACTATACAAAGTGGATGAAAATGTTAGTTTTTAGGCTTTCAGAGGAGCCAAACACTCATTCAGCGATTAAATGTAAGCATGCTCGTTGTGAGATTCCTGGTTACATTGCTTAGGAGTCCCCAAACTAGGAAGGAAACAGTTGTCCAATATGCTTTTTGGTCGTTTTGTTTAAATGTATCATAACTAATGAACACAAAAATAGGTGAAAACTATGAAAAATGAAATAATTAATTTTATAACTTAGAGGGATATCGCTATGGTGATAAATAACCAACAGTAGAAAGCAAATAGAACTGAAATTTCTTGAAATCATTAAAAAAAAGTATTAGATTACTTTGGCTAAAGCAGATTTTGGTGATCGAGATGGTGGTCTTATTCCACTGGGCAGAGGAATGGAAGTACTATTAACAGGTATAGGCATATGAGATTGTCCAACGATATTAGATGGTGGTAGTATAGATGGTGCAGGTATACCAGAATTAGCAATTGATAAGTTACTTAACACAGGTGCTACTGGTCGGAGTTTTGATTGAGTTTTCCCATGAACAGAGGATATATTCCCAGATAGTTTAGGTAAACTACTTAGATGTTCTGAACTATCCTCTATGGTTTTTGAATCATGACTTTTCAGTGTATCACATGTTTGCTTCATGTTGTAGGCAGAAATGTTTTGCTTATTGTAGGTTATTTCATCATCATGCATCGATGTAACTGATGTGTTTGGACTCGAATGTGCATGTCCATTAGTAGCACTAGTAGGAGTAGCACTGTTGCTTTGATTATTGTTAGTAGTAGGAGTACGTGATTTCATTTTATCTGGAGTAATCGATGGTGCTTTGATACCACTAGGAGGACGAATTCCAGTAACACTGACTGAAGTAGAACAGAGAACAGGAGGATACGGCATATTTTCGTTCTAGAAAATGAGAAGACAACAAAATTAATAAGATATTGACACAGAAGTCAGAAACTGAATTAACACGGATTAAATTACTAATCAGAAATATCAAACTCATGTATATAATCTTTTAAAGATTTCTTTAACACGTGGGACAAAACAATAATCCCAATATTGTGTTTAAAAGAGTAGACTGTATACCCACTATTTCATAGTCGTCAAAAGTGTCATAATGATAATAATAACGGCTCTACTTAGAAAAATATTTCGGGAATACTATACAGAATTCTCAGCATATCATTTCGCATCAACTGAACAATGTATATGCATACATTGGGTCTTATGTAATACTAAGCTTGTAGGCGATTGATGCTTCCCAACTGCCGACACCCTTGAAGGCTATTTCTTTTTAAGGTACCTATGAACAAGAAGCCAATGGAACGTGTTACACATGGCCCTTTGCAGGTTCTTGTTTCGAGGTTCGATAGTTCTTACGCAAAACTACGCCAGCTGTAGTCCAGTCATCGCTGTTCTACTCTATGGTTATAAAAACAATGGTCATTAAAGGTGAATACAAGAAGGCTGTAGATGTTCAATCAACGCTAGCATTGATCAAATTCAGTTTTACTATCATACACACTAGAGGATAGACGTAGAGTTTTAAACGAAAGAAGCCAGTAAGTTGGTAAAGTGGTCAATGGTTATTGATTGAGGAAATTGGGATGCATGGCATGCTTAAATATTTGCCGTCTTCCCTGATCTGCATTATTAACTGCTGAAGTAGGGTTCGGTTGTAAAAGGTTGAGGCTGAGAAAACTACACGTTACAATGGCTTACTAAGATTGTAATAAATTGGAAATAAAGTCTGCTTTGGAGATAACTCCTAAAAGTATTATGCAATGGAAAACATTTCACCTGACTGAAGAAAATATTTCATCAAAAAATAAGCTTACTTCAGTCAGTTCCACTTTACTATGATTTTTGATATTTTCTGGTGTATACAATGAATTTGACATTGAATTACTCTGTACAACATGTTTTGAATTCATAACACTGGTCGTCTCTTCAATTTTAACAGTAGTTGAAGTTGTCTTAGGAATACTTAACTGTCTAGTTGAATCACTTGTTGTTTTTACAGCAAACGAAGGCGGTTTAATACGTGATTGAAATGAGTCAGAAGTTGGAATAGGCAGTGGTGAAGATGATGTGATTCGCGTTGATTCATCCACAGATTTAATATCATTTGTAGAATTCGTAGACTGAACTGTGGTCACTGTAGCAGCTTCATATGGTTGTGGAGCGTATAAACTTGTCATATGATTAATCGGTTTGTTATTATACTCCTCATGTGGACTAGTATTGTTCAACTTCTCAATATCATTGTTAACATCCGGCAAAATATTACGTTTAGCGGTAACAACACTGACAGAATGTGTTACTATAGGTTGTATAGATGACCCAGTCATCACTCTTACATGTTCTACAGTCTCAGGCTTAACACTGGTAGATAAGAAAAACAACAATAAATAAAAGGGTGACGGAATATAAGCTATTAGGCGTTAAAAGATAAGCAGGAACAGAAGTTGGTATAATTATTGAAGGAAATTATTACAACCTTGAGAGTTTAAAATGAAGTTATAATTCTATACATAATCCTGATAAGTTATGTACTTAAATCATCTGTCACTTATTTCAGTGTTTTTCGTTATGCAGTTATTACAATACATTACGTCACATCATCCTACCGTACATAAAGGATATATCAGAAATCACGACAAGATTACTGAGACCACTGGGTGGAATTGGTGTGGCTGATAAACCAACAAATTCCCTACAAACACTATTATGCAGACCAAAGGATGCAACAAACAAAGAAGACAAACCAGACATCATTTACAAAATCAACTGCAATAACTGTAGTCAACATAACATGAACACCAACTGGCTATTAAACGTCACACACGACATTTCATCACTCACTTCGATGGACGTGGATAATTATGAACATGAATTCAATTTCGACAATGTAGAAATTCTGGACAGAGAAAAAACACAAAGATTATGAGAGAATTCCTAGAAGCATGGCATTTAGGTCAGTCAGCAATCAACAAATGTATAGACATAGACCCAATCTATCAGTCAATGAGAAAAATGGTCAACGATAGAAAGGTCGGAGGTCAAGCGGAGGGACAGTCAACAGGAATATCTATACAGTCAATGACACAACAATCAAAGGAAACAACCAATCACAAACCACTTCGTTACGGCTAGCTACTAACTGACTCACAGAGAGATAATGACTGTTCACTTCATACTGAAGTTAGTGCTGATCATGTCATCTAGCAAGACGATGAAAGCTCCACGACTAAACAATCCAGCTCAGAGAACACAATACAGCCAAGACTATCCACCTGAGCTACAAATATTCTCTTTACACTAAAAATATATTTCCAACAGTCGGATGTATTGAGGGCGGCATAAAACCTCACTTAGTTCACTTCCACGTGTGAACTGTTTGGCGATATGAGACAGTGGATCAGTCATAAGTTGCATGAGAAGGATATACATACTATGCAGTACAAGTAATTTATACATATAGAAAAAAGAAACACAGAGTCATTAACATCAATATCAACACACAACCAGGGATTTCTGCATAACGTTCCAAGCGGCCACGCTTCACATCAACACACCAAGCAGTAGGACAGTAGGATGAAATAGAGAATCGGTGGAAAGCATCGAATTGAAGGAAGAAGGAATCAAAAAATGCCGACGATACAGATTAGCATAATATATGAAAACATCTGAAGATGAACATTTCAGTGGCTGCTGATGTGATTTCTTGTCTAGAATCCAGTAAAACAACCGAAATAACAGGGTAACGTAAACGGTGTGAAACATGACTAAGGCAGTGAACTATCTAGTTGCTAGGTAGTCGGAAGAACCTCGACCAGTTAACTAGCTCACCAGTTACTAGACGGTCCTAAGCTCGGATAAAGAGGGAAGGTTACCAGTAGGCCTAGCAACCCTACCCCAGAAAACCAATCTAACCGCTACATAAACTTCAAAGCACACAAAAAATATTCAAACAAAACAAGTTTATTCCTCGCTGGAATCAGAGAGACGAAATGATGCAGGTTAGCGAAACCGTTTGCGAAGACAATTGACCGATGTGTACTCTTTCAATGAAAGCAAACGTAAGCACAGGGACATGGAATGTCCGCACCATCTATGAACCTACCAAGGCTGCCCAGATTGCAAAAGAGACGAGGAGGTATGGCATGAATGTGCTTGGAATCCACAAAAGCAGATGGAATGTGAGTGAACTCCCCAAACTCTTAACTAGAGAGTCAATAAACCATTCCAGTATTGTCATCCAGACGACAACCACGAGCACTGTGCGTTTTGGAGTGGTTATCATGATGTCCCCAAAAACGTCGAAGCCTTTCATGAAGTGAAAACCAATCTCCTCCCGGATCATAACAACAAGATTCAAGTCTAAAGGAAGGAAAGTCACAACCATTCAACGCTACGCGCAAACAAATAATGCAGATCAAGAGGAGTAATTCTATAGACAACTACAATCAGTTCAGTACAAGACTCTAGTTAGCGACATCAAAGTTCTAATCGGTGACATGAATAACGAACTCGGAGAGGACAATACTGAAAGTGAACCAACCATGGATCGAAAAGCACTCCGTAAAATGAACGAAAACGGAGAACTGTTTGCGAATTTCTGTGCATTCAACGACTTGGTGATTGGAGGCAGTGAATCGACCACCACAACCACCACCTGCAACCCATCCAGAAATACCACCAGCATCCCAGCCACAGAATTACCAGTGAACACAAGCCCTCCGAAAAATAGAAGAAGTGGTGTCCTTAACGCCATAAAGTTGCTGAAATCCGGGAAAGAAGCAGGACTAGATGGAACTCCAAGGGAAGCATTGAAAACAGACGCAGAAACTTCAGCGGACATGCATACACCACTACTTCAGAAGTTTTGTAAGGAAGGAGGGAAAGGTACCTGCTGACTGGAAGAAGGCTGGCTTGTCAAACTCCTAAAGAAGGGTGGGCGACCTAAGCTTTTGCAAGAACTGGCGTGGTATCATGCTGTCTTCCACCCCAAGCAAAATATTACACCGCATCATCCTGGAGAGACTAAAACATGTTCTGGATTCAAAATTACGACCGGAACAGCAAAGCTGACTGGCTTCAGGAAAAACAAATCATGTGCGGAACGAATTGCAACGCTATGCTATGCATCATCATAGAACAGAGCACAGAATGGCAGTCAACTCTCTACCTACACTTTATCGACTTTGAAAAGGTATTCGACAGCGTCGATCGGTTTTGGTGTCACAAACCTTTATCAACCTCATTCAACAGCATATGCTAAGCTGTATGATGCTACGTGCCAGCCAAGTGATTCACAATAGAAAGTTCAGTGACGCCTTTGAAGTGAAGTTAAGACAGGAGTAAGACAAGGTTGCCGCCTACTATCACCGATCACCTTCCTGATTGTGATGGACTGGAACATGCAGCGAACTGTGAGTTGCGAGAAGATCAGCATACGCTAGCTGAACTGATGAAAAGACCCTAGAAAATTTGAATTTCGCCCACGATTATGATTTATGTCTAATGTCGCACAAACTCGAAAATTTACAGGCGAAAATCGTCAAGTTGACAGAAGAGGCAGAGAAAACGGGACTTCAAGTGAACGTAGAGAAGACGGAGGTGATGAAGATACCCAACCCACAACAGCATCAACAAGAAGAACCAATCACCATCAACGGGAGAAACTAAAGGAAGTAGTCTCATTCACCTGCCTACGCAGCATCGTTTCAACTACAGGTGGCACAGTCGAGGATGTCAAAAGCTGGATTGGAAAAGCAAGACAGGTTTTCATCAGTCTGAAATTAGTGTGGAGATCTACTGCACTCAGCATGAACAATGTCCTGATTTTCAACACTTATGTCAAGTCAGTGCTGCTATATGGTTCAGAAACTTGGCGCGCCACGAAAAGCATTTCCAACAAACTACAGATATTCATCAACATCTGCCACCTACGCTCACTCGATACTGAAGATCAGATGGCCAAAATAATAAGAAAAAGCAACAAGGAACTCTGGCCGGGAAACCGACCAACCAAGAACCTATCACCCAACAAATATGCAGAAGGAAGTGGAGATGGACTGGGCATACACTGTGAAGGCCGACTGGGGACATCACACGCCAGGCACTCGAGTGGAATTCCGATGGGAAAGGACGAGTTGGGCGTCCAAGGGTGACATGGAGGAGGTCGTGTGAGAAAGAAATGAGAGCTTGTGGACAGTCGTGGAGCTAGGTTCGAAAGACTGCTGAGAACAGAGTAGAATGGAGACGTGCTACTGAAGCCCTATGTTCCACTAGGAACCCAAGGGAAAATAATAATGAATAACATAGTGATAGGTAGTCGGAGGCAATCAGCAGGAAGACTTGCACTTAGGTTTTGTGATTCTTAAGATACATCAGCTGGGTGAGTATCTGCAATCACGGTCAAGGTTTCCTGCCAAGGGTCGTCAACCACATAACAGATCAATCCCCCCCTACGCTGTAAATTGATGGATATGATTCGATCAATGTATAGTGGTAAACAACACAAAATCGGTTACATTCCAGTAATAATTCCATGAACTTATCCAAACTGCTTACGAATGTCAACTAGTAGATAAATTTGAAAATGTGTTTCAAGTTGATTTGAATCTCCATAGTAAAATCTACTTTTGAGAAAGAAAAAGTTTATTAGATTGCGTCTGTAAGTATAGTTTTTCCAATGTAGTACGACTTTTATCTAAGTGTATTTTAAATTTTCAGTCTATTTGACAATATTTTGGAGTAAATGTCGCCTAATCAACATATTAGTACAATTTATCCCACCTGCTTACAATTTTTTTAGATGCAATACGTTGTTATTCAACTTTAAATTGTCTGATGATAATAATCACTCGATAAAGCATTCATGCCAAATGCTTTGCACTACTGGAAGACATGGACGATCATAAAATTATGTCCACACTTCAAATCTATGCATACAGACAACTGTGGACATGAATTTGACTAGGAAAATGTGAAAATCCGCGATAGAGAAAATACAAAGAATGTCAGAGGATTTTTATTCAGGTCAGTGTCAGTAATCAAAAGACATATTGACAATGACCCAATCCATCAACCAATAAAGTCAAATTTCAGGTTATCAGGACAACCAATCAAAATAAACATCAAGACAACGACAAGAACATGATGCAAACAATCAATCACATACAAGAACACCAGGGCAAGGTAATAAATAAATTACAGAGATGATCTTATAGTTCACTTTTTTCTGAAGTTCATGCTGATGAAGTTGTTTAGAATGACAATGAAAGCCCCACTATCAAATAATTTAGCTCAAAATCTTCTTATCAATTACTTCAATTAGTGTATGATAGAAACATTCAAGTATGTTATATGTATTTGTA